GTGTGTTTGACCGGAAATTCATAACTCCTGTTCCCGTGGACCTAGAGCACTCAAACGTGGTAGGAGTACAGGGGCAGCATGGGAACACTTATGGTGGGTGGCAGGACCGGACTCCGCCTACAGGGGCGGGGCGTGCACGATAGAAAATTTGGGCCACAAACTCATTACTCCTGTTCCATTGGACCCAGAGCGTTGAAAATTGGTGGGAGTGCAGGAGGCAGGATGGGAACACTTATGGCAGGTGGCAGGACCGGACTCCATGCACAGGGAGCCGGGCGTGCGCGATAGTAATTTTGGGCAGCAAATTTATAACTCCTGTCCCCGCGGACCGAGAGGTTTCCAACTTGGTAGGAATACAAGAGGAAGGATGGGAACACTCATGATGGGTGGCGGAAGCGGATGACTTGCACAGGGGGCGGGACGTGCGCAATAAAAATTCGAGCCGCAATTTATAACTCCTGTTCACGTGGTCCCAGAGCGTTCAAATTTGGTAGGGTCACACTTTTTGCATTACCAGTGGAACCTCACCATTCTAATAGGTGATGCAGGATATGACGGGATCGCAGGTACTCGGTGACAGGAACTGATGTTAACTAATAAGAGAAGATAAAGTACCTAAGAGTGCCACCTACCGATCAAAATCCTAACATCTTAGGTATCTATGATGTAGCTTTGACCGTTCAGTATGTTTCAATCGATAAGACGGGATGGTAGAACAGGGTGACAAATGTGAGTGGTAAGTGCAGCGGTAGGGACCCATTAGGGCAATACAATAAGCAGATTAGAACTTTGTTCATTCTTACTATTAGAGTACAACCGCTACCCAGCAAGGTTTGTGCTTCAATGAAGAGTCCTCTTTGGTCGATATCATTTGCGACAAAACTCAACCGACCACCAATAATATGGAATTCTCAACTAATGATATCTTCGTAGAGAAAAGGGTCCATTGATAAAGAGCATCTGATAGCCTATCATCCTGCTATCATCCTTCAGAACATCAAAGCATCATCTTTGATTGTCTAACAGTTGTATTTTTGATGAGTATTTATTTCTAAGAGAACAATGGTTCGAGACTTCCAATCAGAGGCGTAAGCACCGACTTTAACTGAATACCATTTGCACTGCTCTATCAGTCCTGTGTCAAATTTCGTGTACAGGAAACTATCATTTGTTTCAAAAAAGGATTGCGGAGTCAGACCTACTACAAGTTTATCAAAGAAGGAGGGAAGCTTTCGATTTCTGTTGTGTCAAAGAAGGATTTCGAGCTCTGTTTCAGTTTCACACTCCCACTCGGCTAAACAGTGGAAGAAAGTTAAAAATATAAACTTTGAACAGAGAAATAAAATTCTTCAGTTCAACATTTCTCGGGTTAGGGTGTTTGACACAAGAAGGAGGAGAGCCTGGCGTTAGCCGGGCGATCCGACTGGTAAATGATAATGTTTTTCTTCTTTTGCTCCATTCTTGTCTTATTCCCTTCTTGCAGGTATTTCCGAAGGCAGGTTCCACTGAGGCTCAAAGCTCGCAGGAACGGATAGTAACGCTGGGCCATGAGGACCACACGGTAGGTCCTCAGTGCATAAGTCATTTTTTAGCGGCTATGCAACTCTCGTTTTCATGTCTGAATTTTAAACTTAGGGGTTTGTTTGAGCATAGCACTTGTGGCTAGAGTGATGATGAAAGGGTGATCTTCTGCTCGGCGGCATTTCCTTAACAACTGAAATCGGTCGTTATTTTCAGCAATTAATGCAAGCCACATGTCGAGTACTAGAAAAAGTTGGCGCTGATCCTCATCACATGAGCGAAATCAGCAAAGAAGATTTTGGTTCAAAACCAGGACCAGTTAGGGTAAATAGCCTTGTTTTTCTTCGTTATCGTTGGTTTCTTAAACGTTGTGGTTTTCGACTGGGAATACGTCGTTCACGTCAAGTTCTGCCTTTACTAATGGCAGTGCTTCCAATGCGTTTGGTGCAACACCTTCTGTATTTGGGACTCCCACCTTTGGACAGCAGAGCAGTCAGCAGCAGACAATAAAATTCAATCCCATGGGCGGCCTCGGCAATCATGAGGTTTGCAATCATTTGAAATGACTCAGTCATTGAGATCTTCGAAATATAGAGACTTCTGTTTTCCCTTTAAAAGGTGCTTTTGGAAGTGGTTTGGAACCGACTATTCTGATCGAAAAGGAAGTTGAAAGGTTGAGATGTATCATCAAGTTACGCGTTATCAGAGTTATAGAGTGCTTCTCGTTGTCAATTAAAACTTATAGTTCGAGAAAGATCTAGATTTATTAACGTGAGCGAGCACATGTCATTAAAAAACGCAATTCAAACATAACTGTAAAACTAAGAGGATTGCGTAATGCTTGCAAGTAAACATCCCATTGCGATAGCTACAGCGGTTAGTACTTTCTTGTCGAATGACTGTTTGTATCGATTGTAGGCGCATCTCTTTGATGCTGTAGTTACCAACGATACTTAGGTATAATGTTTACCTGCAGCGAAGCTATTCGCCCTCACGATACCGAATTCTCGATTGAAAACCCATATTGGGGTTTAGTTTCGAGTTTGCAATTTTGCATGGGGTTCCGTTATAAAATTTACGCTGCCGTAATCGTCAGGCCTATAATTAATTTTGGAGAAGAAATGGAGGGCTTCAGTGTCTAGTTTTACCGTTACCAGTACGCCACACACGCCTATAATCTTTACCCGCCAGTAGTTAGTCTTGTCGTTTACTATAAGTGCCATTTGTTTTGAATGAGCAGTGTCCTGTTGTAAGCGTGAGTTAATCGGTTTGGCTGCATATTCCTACTCACTCAGTTTCCTACAAATATTCGTTCTTTATTCAATTTTTTCCCGTTTTAAGCCTTGTTGAAGGAACATGTGTAAGTTCAGCTTTTTAGTTGCTGTCCTTCCTCGACAATCTTCAATCTACTCTTCGCTCATCTGGCTTCAACGAGGCCAGTGTAGCTGAAGTCATGCAAGCAATGCAGGTAAGTTATGGCCAATCAAATCCTGAAATCCTTTCTACCTACCGGTTGTTTTAAGGTTCTCGCCAAGTACAATATTATGGGCCTTGGTCTTGGCCTAGGAGTTGCAACAATGGCCCAGATGCGTTCAGCTCATGAGACACCACAGACTACGACTAATCATGGTGTAGCCGGATTCTCTGATCATGGTGGACATGGCGGTGGTGAACAGGTTGGTAGCTTCCGTATTCAAAGACATGCAAATCGGTCCCATTCCAATTACGAGTAGGTTATGGAGACTCTTTCTGTAAACTTTAGCTGCTAAAAAAAATTGACTATACGTTCAGCCACCTGCTGTCAATCTCCTTCTGGTGGAGGTGCTGAGGAGCGGATCTGGAGCTGGTGCGAATGGCGAAAACTATGCAGAGTCTGTAATAAAAGAGCGCCGCATTTCCAGTGATGCGATCGAACTGGAGGTAAGCTCATGATGCAGAAAGTTTTATTTTTCTAGTGATGGATCTATCAAAGTAATTGATGCATTTTTGATAACGTAATGACTTAACTCTATGCAAGCTGACAAAACAATCAAAACACAACAAGTCAATAGCTTGCTCACAAATTGTAGCTTTCTCATCTGTTGAACTCCTTTCGAGTTTCATACACAATGACTGCTTTATTTATAGGTTCCAGACGCTGTTGTTGGTGCAGTGTTAGGTCCAAAAGCGAAAACACTGCAGGAAATCCAGTTTTACAGCGGTTGTAAAGTGCAGGTGTTCAAGAGAGATGCAAAATCTGACCTACCGGTTGGAACGAGGCTCATCAGGTTTGATAAAAGAAGGTATTTCAAAGCAGAATTGTATTCAGTCCTGTTTCTCTTTTTCAGTCTGGCTGGTGATGAAAAATGTATGCGTTTATGCAAATTGATGATAGAACGCGTCGTCAATGAAGCACAGGAGCGCAGGGTGGGGACACGTACCTAGAGAAGACCGGACATCCCATTCGATCTCTCTAGCTCTCTCCAGCGTCCACTCTACATAGTACTTCCTATCCTCGTCATCAGCTGCTCGTTCTCCATCCAACCGTATCATCCATTTAGTGCACTCTCCCTCCTCATAATCTTTCCATCAGTCTGATATACGAGATCTGCCGTTAATCTCCATTCCTATTCAAAAACATGGGGACTTGCAGTTTCTGGTGACTCAAATCAGAATAAACATCATTAAAGTTTGTTAATTCCAAGTTTAACTTAATGTTCTTTCTTCTTCAAACTGTATTTGTTGTAATCGATAAAATCTTGTTTCTTCTGTTTTCTTTCTTCTTCTGGCATTTGTTCAAAGATTAGTACACACTGCAAGATCAAGAAGTACATAAATATCAAGACTCTCATCTACAAAGTCTGAAACTTTTCTTCTTCTACAACCATAAAAACTGTTCTCAATCTCAAAACTCAAGATAAGAAAGTCACTCTGCGAAAGTTTGATATCACTTTACTGGTTCAGTCATCAATCGTCGTCAAGAAATCATCCTATTCTGATTACTAAAGCTTATCATGGACCAATTCTATTTCAACACAAATTCGATTTAGCCATTGGCTTGATGGGTATAGCTGGAATCCTGGGAGCAGCTATGTTAAAATATGTGTAGTAAAGTCGCACAGCAAATCTTGTTAAGGTGTGGAAGTGTGCGGTGTCTCGAAAGAAACCCTTACAATGAGAGAGGATCGTTTTTGTTTGTTAAACTTCTTCGGGCAAAGTTTGCTTAAAAAATTCAGGCGGAGGGAGGAAAACGTTGTTCGATTGTCCTTCTTTTAAATAAGAAGGACTAGATGTCCACTTTGAGGCTAGTTCCTTCTTCAGTTCATTTGTTCAGATCTTGGCTTTCAGCTGAGCCAAGTTGATAGTCATTGCAGATTTCGTTTTTACATTGGCAAACTGATGTCGGAATCGATACGGCTGAGGAAAGTCACACTAGACGGGATGCTGCAGAAGGGTGGGTTGTTCCAACTACGAGCCATACACTGCGTTTCATAAATATAGGGCCACCCTGAATTTTTGTGATTCCAAATTTGCTGTGCATGTTGAGAAAATGCTTCTATCACCAGCAGATTGCACATGTCGAAAAACCTTGGTAACGTTTTTCTGAGAAATTTTCTACTCCAAATAACCTAAATAACTTACCCTGAGCGAATTTTCTGCATATTATGAATACGGGTCCACTCTTAAAAAAATTCCCGTTTCTCTTCTTCCATAAGGGAAAACCGGGATGCGGGGTCGTACAGGAGGTTGCTCGGTTTCGTGTAATTATGCCGCGTGCTACTCGTCTCTCTAACCAGGAACAAGCTCAAGTCAGAGCTCTGTTTGAAGCCCGATGGTCGAGTCGAGAAGGAGGATTGCCGCCCATATCGGCCGGTCACACAACTGCATTAACGAGTACCTGCGGAATCCTGATCAGCACGGAAAGAAGAATAGTCCAGGTCGACCACAGCTGCTTTCTGCCCGAGATGAAAGAACAATTGGACGTGTTTTGTCAAATTCAACGAAGAGCCTGAACCGGGTCCGCGCTGAAATGCGGCTTCTTGTGAGCAAAACCACTGTCTGGAGGGTAATCCAGCGGAGCAAAAGCATCACCAGAGAGATGATGAGGCGGGTTCCAAGACTATCGGAACGACACAAAGTCGCACGCCTCCAATTCGCCATGAAAAATGCCTCATTCGATTGGATGAAGGTGCGGCTATTTCGACACTTTGCAGTCTTTGACTCCATATCTTTATTTTACGGTTTAGGTAATCTGGAGCGACGAAAAGAAGTTCAATCTAGACGAACCTGACAGTAGAAGAGGATATTGGAGGGATCTGCGCAAAGCACCCTTGGTTTTGAGGCGACGTAATTTCGGTGGAGGATCTCTCATGGTTTGAGGCGCCTTTTGTGCGGCTGGACAGCTTGAACTTGCTTTTGTTTCCTGTCGTATGGATTCCGTAGAATACCAGAGAGTGCTGGAGGAGCGACTTTTACCATTTCTCCGACAACACCGTCGTCGTTCATTGATTTTTATGCACGATAACGCGGCTGTCCATGTCAGTCGTTCCACTTCGGATTGGATTGAAAGTAGAAACATCACAGTTCTCGAGTGGCCCGCATGTTCTCCAGACTTGAATCCAATGGAGAATNTCTGGGCCTTCATTGTCAAGAAGATTTACGGCGAAGCAAAGCAGTACAACACAGTCGAAGAGCTCAAATTGTCCGTCCCCGACGCTTGGACAAACTTAGACCCCAATTTGATAGCTAGCTTGGATGAGAGCATGCCAAGACGCATTGGTGAAGTCCTTGCGAATAATGGAGGACCAACACATTATTGAGAAGTTGTAACATCCACTCTGTTGTAATAAATTTTTCCGTTAAAGAAAGTGTAGTCATACTCATGAAAAGGTGAGAATACCTTCCAGGGAAATTATTTCAACTATTCTAAAGTGAAATTTTTTCACAAAATCTGTACTAAGGTTTTCTGTTATGAGGAATCTATTGGTTATGGCAGGATTTCCCAAAAATGCGCTGCATGCTTGGAACTAGAGAAATTTAGGGTGGCCCTATATTTATGAAACGCAGTGTATACAATGATGAGCATACGGCATGATAAGTGGAATGCTCAAAGCCCTTCGAAATGAGTAGCACTTTTTACGCGAATGGCATGTGAGACAGGTTTTAATGAGCTCGCTTGACTTATCTGTCCGAAATGAATCCATTGTAAAAGCTTGCAGTTAATAATATTTCATGCATAAGAGCTTCACTTGCAACGAACTGCTCGATGTGTTTGCAATCTCCCTACTATATGCAATGAGTTCAGTGTGTCTGTTAGTTTTTCTGTGCTTCGTTGTGTCGGTATGTATGTTTACCCGGAGATCCGTAACTCTTCTTTCCTCAGACCCAAAATCGAATTTGTTAGAAATAAAAGCGGTAGATTGGTAACATCTTCTAGGTAGGAGGAGATTAGTCTCTTCCCACTGCGTACGGGGCGCGCATGTAAAAAGTGTTCGACTGAAAATTCGTAGCCATGTTCCCGTGGATCTAGAGAAAGCGGATTGGGTAGGAGTACAGGCGACAGGATGGGAACATCAATGGCAGGTGGCAAACTGGACTCCACTCACGGGGGAAGGGTTATCCAAACCGACAATCTTATCCAGAAGCCTCTCATATTATCCACCGTACATTTACAGCTTTGCTCTCTTCAGAGATAGAGCGCTCAGATGTTTTAGGATTCATGCTGTGGGGTTTTCGCCGCTACATCGAGTTGCTGCATGCATCTGTAGTGTAGTTGACCGATTATTCACAGCTTTAGCACTTTTATTCGTACTGTGTTTAAACTCCAACAAAGTTGAGGAGATATGGGGGAAGTGTAGCTTCAAATGTAGCGATCGATCTTGACCAGTGTTGGTTTGTGAAGAGGTACATTTTTTGAGCAGAAAGGGGAAGTAGTAATGACAGGGATCAGTAAGGTAACCTCAATACAGAGAGGAGAACAGCTCGGCGTTAGCCATCCGACTGGTGAAAATAAAAATAAAAACTCTAACTTCTATGGCCAAAAAAAGTATCAGAGAGTCTGTTGGAAACCTGTGAATAAGAACCCATCTCTTTTTGAAGGCGTGTGGGTACATTCACCCGTTTGGAGTGCACGTGGCGAAATTCGCGGTTATTCGTGAGACTCTGGCGCCTATCTTTGGGCTACACGTTTGAAATAGCGTAGATTTGTAGGATCAGCTGATCCTACTAATCTACACTATTTCACTTCAAATCTGTGCCAATGATAGGCGCCAAATTCATTCAGATCGCCTCGAATTTCGCCGCGCAACTAGCAGCTTGCGTTTCCGGACGGGCGAAAGTCCCGACCTCTTCATGGAGAGGAATTTGGACGAGCTGCACTCGCGCGCCACTGCATACAGCTAACTGCAATGCATGCATGCACGGTGTGGGTCTCGGTGCGAATGGTGCAACCTCTACATCTCTTACACGTTTAACAACTCGACCGCCTTAAGTGTGTACGTCGGCTAAGCTGCTTTTGCGAGCCTTTATACGCGCTATCTTGACGGTTTTTCGATCCGACAACGTCCCTTAGTCCATACTCCGGGGTTACGAGAATCTCGGAAATTTCAATTGTGAATCGTGCCTTTAAGTCAGCCAGTCGAAGGCGATTAAGAGTGCAGTTTATGCGGTACTTCGGAATAGAGAAGAATAGTCATATAACATTACGAAAAGCAGTACGCGTTCCATAACAATCGATTTCAACCAGAAGAACATACACATCATCTTGCAACACTCATGAAAGTACCGCCATATGACAGTAGTGTGTTACATAACGACCTCATTTAGGATCGTTATGTAGCGCGGTATTGTCATAGGACTTTGCAACCATTCTAAACTGGGATGAAAAGGGTGCGGCTGACTAATGTCGCTCGATGTCTGGCACCTATTCGGCTCATCCGCAGGTGATGGCTAAGAAAAAAGAGCACCTCTATAGTAGCATTTGAGTAAATAGCTTCAGAATGAGAAAAGTCCTTGCTGAAACGACTAACCAAGGAGGGGTAGTCTACTTACCGTGGGACTTTGAATGGAGACCCAGATAAATCGATAGAGTTTTGAATGCTATTTACGAAAATGGAAATTAAAACTGCTAAATGGTTTTCCTTAAAAAGTTATGGGGGCTGGAAATTCGCTT